GGGCCTCCTCACTCTCAAGATATCCCTCCCAATATTTTATCCATTTCACGTGAACGTGGGACCAGCCTGTTCCACATCTCCACCCCTACTAGAGGTCTAGATGGATGCAGTTTCTTTAATTCCATAGTTGTCAGACTTCCATTCATCTTGATTTCTGACAGCTCTGAGTGATGGTTGTTCTACATTTTAGTTGTGATTTTGCTGTGGCTGTACGAAGAGGTGAGCCATTGTTACCTATGCCGCCATCTTAAGTAGAAGAAGCAGGGGAGGGAGGTAGGGATGGCTGGGGTTGGGGGAGAGTAATGGGGGGTAAATGCAGACAACTGTACTTGAACAAGAATAAAATAATTTTGAAAAAAGAAGTATCAGCTTTTGTTTTATATATTTTAAGTTTATAACATACAAACACATTTATGACCTCCATGTATTCCTGATTAATTAACACATATAATTTATTATTACCTTTTATCTCAGGTAATAGTGTTTGTCTTTAAATATGTTTTGTCTGGTATTAATGTAGCCAGTCCTACTTTCTTATGCTTACCCTTTGCACGGCATATCATTTTGGATTCTCTTATTGTCCACTCGTCTGAGTCTTTATTTTTACATTGCATCTCTTGTAGACAGCAAAATCATTGCTCTTTTTCTTCATGCTGTCAATATCTACATTTTCACTGAAATATTTAACCCATCATAACATAGAGTATAATTTTTATATGGTTAAATTTATGTCTATCATTTTACTGTCTGTTTTAGTCCATACAGTAGTGGCTATAACAAAATACCATAGATGGGGTGGCTTATAAATAACATTTATTTCTCGCAGTTTTGGAAACTGGATAGTTCATGACCAAGGACCAGCAGATTCTGTGTCTGATAAGAGCCTACTTCCTAGTTCATAGTCTTCTCACTATGTCCTCACATGGCAGAAAGGGGAGAGGGAACTCTCTGGAGTCTCCCTCATGAGGGCACTAGTCCCATTCATGGGGACCTGTCTGACCTAATCAGGCCTCTCTCTGACCTAGTCACCTGCTAAGGGCTCCAACTCCAAATACCATCATATCGGGGGTTAGAATTTAACATGTGACTCTTCAGGAGGACACTAACATCCAGTCTATAGCACTGTCTGTCCCATCTGGAGCAGTATTTTTTCCTATGTTCCCCTTTTCCTGCCTGAGATCATCGATTTTTTAAAATTCCATTTTAACTTATGTACTGCCTTTTTAGGAAGTGAGCACTTTGCATTGTTTTTTTAGTGGTTGCTCTAGAGGTTATAATATATATCCTTAACTTTCCAGTGTCTGTTTGTGGTTAATACTATAAGAACCTTCATTCCCTCTCTAATCTGTCCTTTATGCTGTAGTTACCATATGCATTACATCTACATCTATTACATGTATTAAAACACACTATTTTGCAATACACATGTATTATAACACTATTATAATTTTTATTTTAAATAGTCATGTGTGTTATAAAGAAATTAAGCCCTGGCTGGTGTAGCTCTGTGGATTGAGCGCGGACCTGCGAACCAGAGAGAGGATCACGGTTTAATTCGCAGTCAGGGCACATGCCTGGGTTGCAGGGCAGGTCCCAGCAGGGGATGCATGAGAGGCAACCATACATTGATATTTCTCTCCCTCTCTCCTTCCCTTCCCCTCTAAAGATAAATAAATAATAATAATAATAAAATCTTTTTTAAAAGAAATTAAGAAAAATATTTTTTTAATATTTACCCACATATTTGCTATTTCTGGTGTTCTCCATCTCTGCCCAAAGACCAAGGTCCCTCCACTATCGTGTTTTTTAGATGGAGATATCTCCTATACCATTTTTTTCAGTGCAGATCTATTGATGAATTCTTAGCTTTCATCTCTCTCAAAAGGTCCTTATTCATCTTCATTCTTGAAGGGTCTTGCCTTGGGCCTAGATGGAGCATGCAGGTTGAAAGTTTATTGTTGTTGTTCAGCACTTTAAAATGTTGTTTCATTGTATCCTGGTTTCGACGATTTTCAATAAGAATTCAGTGGATTGTCTTGTTAACATTCTCCTATATGGAGTGGTTTGTCTGACTACTTTCAAGATTTTCTCTTTCTCTTTTCTTTAGTAGTTTGACTACAATGAGCCTACATGTGGTTTTTCTTTGAATTTATCCTCCTTTGCATTCACAGAACTTCTGAATCTGTAAAATATGTCTATCTCCAAATTTTTAAAACATCAGCCATTATTTTTTCAAGTAGTTTTTCTTCCCTACTCTTTCTCTCTTCTCTCCTGGCTTCCCAAATACACGTTAGACCTTTTGATATTGTCCCGCAACTCACTGAGGTGCTGTTCTGGGTTTTGTTTTTTTTTTTATCTTTTTTTCCTCTCAGAATCGATCATTTCTATTGATCTATCTTCCAAAAAGTAATATGAAATCTCTAAACACTCATAACTATTAACAAACACCAATGTTAACAGAAGGATGGAGTAAGAGGAGCTAATAAAGGACCTGGTTCACTCCTGAGTGAAAGCCTTGCTCACTTCCCACTACAACTTGGCTTCACCCTGGACCCCTTCTCCAGACCCTTTTTCCCATCGGGGTCCCAGTGCATGCTGCAGAGGGGGTCTGGGCTTGCTGCCCTCGGGGTGCTGTCCCCGCCTGCTGCAGTGAGGCCACTTCCCTCAGAGAAAGTCTCAAGCCTCCTGCCACAATAAAGGGGGGTGGACCGAGGACAGATGGACCGGATGGCCCTGTGTAGATAGCAGCTGATGTGTGCATCTGCAGACTTTTGTTCTATTACTCTGCCTAGGCTGGCTGGGCATGTGTTTGACATTTTTTCTAATAAAATATTGAAAAAATCTAGAAGGGAAATGTCTCTCCCAATACAATTGTGGGTTTATCAGGTTTTTTTCCCCATAGGTCTACCACTTTTGCTGTAAACATTCTGATGCTCTCCAGACTAACTGTAGTAATGCTACCACCAGCCATATGGTAACCCCAAAACAGTTTAAGACAATTATGCATTGTCTTCCCATCTCTATTTTTATAGCCCTATTACAACTGCATGTTCACAGCACAGTCATTCCACATCGAAGTGGGTGTGGGGTGCAGTCTCAGAAACCCCCTCCAGGACTGAGGCTCTCATCCCCCTCCTTTCTGTGAAGGTTGAATGCCAATGCTCTCTAGGAATTGCCCAAGGCCAAAGGAGTTGCCTTACCCAGGGTCACCCCCAGTACACATCCAATTACTACTAGCTAATGTCCGGTGCAAAGGCCCAGCCCCCTTCAGGAATTGGCTTGGGAGGGATCTGAGCTCACCCCATTCCCTCTTGTATGAGTTTTCTGGGGCTGCTGCAATAAATTGCCAAAAACCAAATAGATGAAAACAATAGGAATTTATTCTCTCATGGCTCTGGAAGTCAGAAACCCAAAATTAAGGTGTCAGTAGGGCTATGCTGCCTCCAAAGTCTCTAGAGGAGAACCTTTCCTTGCCTCTTCCAGTTTCATGGGGCTCCAGGCATCCCTAGGCTTGTGGCCGCATCACTCCCATCTCTGCCTCCACCTTCACATGACTTTCTCCCTTGTGTCTGTCTCTCTTCTGTCTCTTTTAAAGACACTTACTGCATTTAGGGCCCACTTGGATAATCCTGGCATGACCTGATCTCAAGACTCTTAAGTTCATCACATCTGCAAAGACCCTTTTTCCAAAAAAGGTCACATTTATGGGTCTTAGAGTTAGGATGAGCACCTATCTTTTTGAGGGGCCACCGTTCCACCCACTTCCTCTTGACAGCCCAGGATCAGGCCTGCCTAGCCAGACCCCAAGTGAGAGAACGACACTGAGGAGCAGGGCCCACAGCCAAGAAGAACCAAGCGGGGAATCTCCCTGCCTCTGCTCAGTGAAAAAACCCTGTGAGCCCTGCTCCCCACAGCAAGAAGCACCCTAAGTGGGTATCTCAGCTCTCCCCCTAAGCCAGGGCAGGCGTATTGAGGGCTTCTCCCTAAGGTCTAGGTTCTCCTGGTTCTGTAAGGAGAGGTAGAACTCAGAGTCAGAGAGGTGCCTAGCTCCTGCTCAATTCCCAGTGGCCTCGGGCTGGGGGAGGGGTGGAACGTGCAGGGTGCCTGGTTTTCCTTGTTGCTCTTCTTTGACAGGCTTGTTAATATCCCAACTTTTTGAGGAGCTCATCATTGTCAACAGAGCACGTGTCCCGAATCCACCCTGCATTTCAATCCTGTTTCTGCCACATAGATGTTGACTTTGAAATACAGACCCCGATGCTTACCCTGCAGACAAGCTTGCTGAATATATGGGAGGACCTGAGGGAAAGAAAAATTCATCCAGCAGCTCTTCACTTCCAGTTCTTACCCTCTTTCCTTTCCACCTATCTGCACACTGCCCTTCCCCCAATACCTCTCACTGTTCCTCAGTTTCTCATCTCTGCCCTCCTGGCTCAAGTGGTGTGGTTCCTTACTGGGTGGCCATGGCCTGGGCATTTGCTGCTAGCTGCTCCGCAAATGTTCCATAGATCCCAGATGGAAGGACTGATAATTGGATGGACGTAAAGCCTAATGTCGCCCCTCCCTGTCCCCTTGGGGGGCTGCAGGGGACTGACTACTGAGACCAGAGCCGTAGAAGCATCGGGACCCAGAGCAGAAGTGCTCCAGGGTGCATGAGGAGCCAAGACAGAACCCCAGGGGGGCGCGCTGGGGCGGGCGCGGGCGGGCCGCCCTCCTGCCGCGCCGCGCATGCTCCGTGCCCCCCTTCCCACGCAGCCACCACCCCCGCCCAGCCCTCTCCCTGCCCGAACGTTGGTGCTTGACGGACGGACACTTACGGACCGGACTGCGGTGCAGAACGCACCTCCCGAACCGTGACAGGGGAGGAGGCGGAGACCCTTTCGGAGCCCCACCGCCTCCTGGGGGTGGCCCCGGAGGGCTTCTAGGAGGCGGCGGCCTTGGCCTCAGGCCTGCTAGGGGCTGAGGGGCGGGGCACCGTCTCCGCAGGTGGCGAGGGGGCACGGGAGCTGCTGTGACCGTCGGAACGCCCTGGGAGGCAGGGAGCTCGGAGAAGCTGGCAGCCAGCCCTGGAGGCTGTTCCTTTCTTGGGCGCCCGGGAAAGGCAGGCCAGGTTTTCCAGTCTGTCTACTGACTGCAGTTTGCCACTGGGCCAGCAAGAGCGCATCCCGTCGCCTAGTCGCCTGGTAAGTTTGGACTGTACACCTCTTCATGTGAGAGCGCCAGGCAGACTGGCACAGTGACCATGGTTGCAGCACTCCTGCCCAGGGCGCCCAGCAAACCCTGGGCAGGCACAGGGTTTGGGGGGGTGGGGACTGTGCCCTTTGGTGATGGTGTACTGACGGTGAGGTGAGGAGCAACTTGAGGAGCAACGCATGGGAAGGCTTAAGAAGACGAAGCTGAGGGCAGGATGGAAGGCCCACAAGGGCAAGGGAGGGGCTGCACTGAGTTGTACGGGAACTGTGCGGGAATTGTGTGGGGCTGCCCTGCAGGGCCAGTTTTCACAAATGCACGCTGAGCTCCCACTGCAGGGCCAGACTGCTGCAGACATTCAGGATATATCAGGAAGCGAATCTGCTGAACTGCCTGCTTGGTAAGTCCAGTTCTAGTGACAGGGCACAGACAATAAATGGTAAACATTTTAAAGAATTATAGAGTATGTTAAACAGTGGAAAGTATCACTGGAAAAATAGATCAGGGTAAGGGAGCTGGGGTGTGGGATTGCTAGGTTAAGTAGTGTGGTTAGAAGGCGACATTTCTGAAAAACTTGAAGGAGGTGAGAGAGCCTAGTAGGCTGAGGGAACAGAGAGTTCAAAGGCCCTGAGGTGGGAATGGCCCGGTGTGCAGGGTAGAGTTCAGAGACCAGTGTGGCTGGAGCCTAGAGAGCAAGGGTGTTGGAGGAGGGGCAGGAGAGGTAAGAAAGGACCATGTGAGTTTACTCTGAGTGAGATAGGCACTTCAGGGAGGGCTCTAAGCAGGGAAGGACAGAACTCCACTAGGAGGTGGCTCTCTTTATTTCCAGGTCAGCCTCTATGCCCTGAGGACAGGGCCTGGAGATACCAGTTGCAGGATTGCTCCTCAGAGGGCTTTGCTCTACCAGGCCACATGGAGAGGGCCCCGGGCTGACCTGTGGCAGCACTCAAGCCAGACTTCGGCTCTGGGGCTGAGGCTGGCCTCCCCAGGCCCCAGGTCCTCCGGGCTTTCTATCAGGTGGGTGGCAGGTGATATGCACTCCAGGGAAGGCTGCTGGCACTGATAGAAGGCAGCTGGGGTTTTGAATCACTAGACCCCAGAGGAAGTTCCACCCGAAAGAAAGAAGACCAGGCACGATGGTCATGGGTGTCCTTCCTTGTGGATGAAAAAGCCCCAGTTCCTGATCCCGCATGAGTGGGACTACTGACTGCTTTTTTTGGTTGTTTGTTTGTTTTCTATTTTCTTTTTCTGGGGAAATAGCCCCATCTCGTGGTCTTTGGGAGGCATCAGCCCCCTGGCCCCCTCTCCTGCTTTAGGGCGACTTCAGTTGACAGCATTGCTGTACCCCCACCGCTCCTCTCCTCCCCCAGGGTGCTGGCAAGTGGCTCCTCATTCTCAGCTTTCCCTCCACCAGGTTCAGTGAAGGGGTGGGAGTCTGCCTCCTTCCGGGGAGCGAACCAGTTCAGGAGGAGGCTGGCAGGGCCTTACCAGCTTCTGGCCTGGGGCACTGTTGTCTGATGGACCCTCACCTGCATCAGAAAAAAACTGAGCTTCGGGGCCTAGGATTATCCTTCAGTTTCTCCTCTACTCTGGGGCCCAAGGTCACAGTCTCTTAGGAGAAGCTACCTCCGGCTCCACAGCCTCTTTCTAGATTGTTCTTAAATATGTGCTAGGGAGTGTCACCCCATTCCCCCAGGGGGTTACTTGCAGTTTATAGTCTGTGAGGACAGGGCTTATCATGTCTTTCTTTCTGTGATTTGAAAGTATGCTGACTTTGGGGGACTGGGTCTCAAGCATAGACACTGTTGTGGCGAGCACGCATCATGGCTGGCACCTGCAATGCGCCTTGTGGTGTTGAACTTAAGTGTTGGTCTCCATCTACAGGTGAACCTGCCCATGCTGCTTCTCTTATGTAGTCACAGCTCAGCAGCTGCTTCTCTACTCAGGGCTTGGACCCTAGTATGTCTTGGAGTTTGCCTCTTCATTTAGACTTTTCTGTTTTCCAAGATGGATCATGACCTGGCAGTACAGCTGTGGAAGGGAGAAAGGAAGCTTGCACTGCTTTTCAAAAACAATGTGATGCTATTCTGAACACCCTGGCTAATATCACTGGTCTCTGCCCTGCCCCTTTAGCTCATCAGGTCCCCCAGTGACTGACGGTGTGTCAGAATGAAGCACATGATGTGCGGACATCAGAATGATTACTTGACAGTGACACTTCTTGCCACCCTCCTTGTTTGTTGAGATGAGATTAACATAAAATAAAATGTACCATTTTAAAACGAACAAGTCAGTGGCATTAAGTACATTTGCAATCTTGCGCACCCATCACCACTATCTAGTTCCAGAACATTCTCATCATCATCCATGAAGGAAACCTGATACCCATGAAGCAGTCACACATGCACTACGTACCTCATTGCCCCTGGCACCCACTGATCTGCTCTCTGGCTCTCTGGATTTTCCGATTCTGGACATGTCATATGTTTGATGAAATAGAATTTTTTAAGAGAGAAGAGGAGGGAGGGAGAAGGAGAGGGAGAGAAACATCTATGTGAGACACAAACATCAATCGGTTGCCTCTCATACATGCCCTGACCATGGACCAAACCTGAAACCCAGACATGTGCCCTGACCAGGAATTGAACCAGTAACCTTTTGCTTTGCAGGATGACGCCCAACCAACTGAATCACACTGGTCAGGGTGAGATAAGATTTTTTTGATGGTATGTCACAGGATACTGGTAGTCAAATGAAAGGCAGAATTCTTTCTTTCTTACATCTCCAAAGGACAAGAGTCTGCCACAGGACAGGGGTGCACCTGAAGTACTATACTGCTTTTCATGAGGTCCCTCTGGGCATAGGGGCTGTCCTTAGTTGTCTGGTACTGCGCCTGGCCCCTAAGTGTGGGAGCCCAATAAGGGGACTGGAAGCATGTTTACTGGTCCCTGAGAGAAGACCCCTGATGAGGGAGGTAGTCGTGGTGGGAGTTTAGCAAACTGTCCAAGAAGGGCAAAGAAAAGATTTTTAGTCACAACTTCCAAACTAGGTCAAGACAGCTCTTGTGAAATATTATATTACATCATATAAATGGAATCATACCATCTGTGTGGCCTTTTGTGTGTGGAGGGTGGGTTTCACAGAGCATAATGTCTCCGAGGTTCATCCACATTGTTGCATGTATTAATATTTCATTCTTCTTTATGGCCAAATAATATTTCATGATGTGTATGGACCACATTTTGTTTATCCATTGATCAGTCAATGGATATGGGGTTGTTTCCACCTGTTCGCTCTGGTGAATCATGCTGCTAGGAACATTCATATACAAGTTTTTATTTGAACACCTATTTTCAGTTTTTTTCAGGATATATCCAGAAGTGGAATTCCTGGGCCATATGATAACTATGTTTACTTGTTGAGGAACCATGAAGTTATTTTCCCCTTTAATGTTGAACCCCATCAAGCAGACAAGTAGAGAGACTAGTCTAATGAAGCTCAAGTACCCACCTCTCAGGTTTGGCAGTGGTCTCTAGCTCACTTTATTTGCTTGTTTGCCTCTCTGTCTCTCTGTCTCTCTCCTTTGTTTTTGCCAGACATTTTAAAGTGAGTCTGCTGGCCATTTTGCACGTTGAAAAAATTTTCCCTCCAAATGTTTCAATGTGCATATCTTGACAAGGACATTTTCTTCCATGGCTCAGTGCCATTACTGATTTAACACACAAGCAGCAGTGGTCCCCACTGTCCTCTGAGAGTTGCTCCACAGTTGACCCTCCATACCCCCCAATGCTTTCCACTCCTCTTTTGTTCATGCCAGTATCTCATCAAGGACTCCGCTACACTTGGTTGTAGAATGGTCTTCTCTAGCCTCCTCTTTCTCCCATGAAACTAATTTTCAAAGGAGACCGAGGAACAGCTCATCTTCTGGGTTGGGCTGATTGCTTCCTTGTGATGTCTTTATCTGTCCCAGAGATCCCCTGTAAACTGAAAGTTAGGTCCCAAGGCTGCATTAGAATCAGGTCAGGGTTTGGCAAGAGCCCTCCTGGGCCACCTGAACACTCCCCAAAGATATGTCCCACGTCCGTGCCACCACTGTTAGTTTAGCTTTCTCTCTTGTGACCAGTAGTAGTCCAGGAAGACATTTTGACATCCAATGGATGTTGTTCTTCCTCATTCTTTCATCTAATGGTTTTAGCATCCACTCAACCTTAAGGGATTCTTTCTCTCTGATTAATATGAACTTCTTCATCAGACACATGAATTTATTTATTCTGGGCCAGTGTTGACTGACAACTCATCATAGAGAGTAAGGAAATTTAGGGCAATTTAAATGCTTTGGGGACTCTATCCCATCACCCTTTCTCCTGTTGTACAAACAAGCTGTGCTTACTCAGAGGAGCATAAGAAATAGTCTGAGCCCATGTGCCCACCATCCACAGCCTTGTTCCTCTGCTTCTCTGCCTAGGACTTCCACCTTTTGGTCTCCAGTTGGGTGAAAATAACATGCTTAGAGCAAACTTTCTTCTTCCCCACTGTCTTCTGGCATTAAGAACTGACGTGGAGAAATCTGATAATGTCCACTTTGTCAGCGACACGCTCCTCCTGCTCTTAGTGTGAGCCCTGGCTCCTTCTTGTTCCCAAAGGGCCAACATGGTCTCACCTTCTTTAACAGACAAGTAGAGAGACTAGTTGCAACCTTCTGCAACACCCACCCACACACACCCCCTCAGTTTTCAACACCACAAACTATAGGGTATCTGCACTCAGGCTATCTAAGTGCTGGATATGGGCTGTGCCCTTGGCCTGAAACTCTCCTTACTCACCCCACCTTCAGCTCTTAGCCTGAATGTTACCTCTTCCGAGAGCACCCCCCCACCAGCTATTGTGGGTCCCTTCATTGTGCAGCTGAATGGGATCTTTCAGCTGCACAATGAAGCCTGATCTTTCTCTTTTCCTTGAAACAAAGTCCATTTGCCTGTAGAGGTGGTATATTTGGAGTTTTTCTATAAGAAATCTGACCTGAAAGGAAAAGAGGTTGGCAGTGGAGCTTCCACGGATGGCTGAAGTGTTGGGGTCAGGGATACTGCTCATATGAGAAGAGGGCCAAGAAAAGAAGAAAATGAGAATAAGAAAGGAAAGAAGAAACACACTCCTTTGAAAGTTTCATTAGCTGAGCCTAGAATGAGGAGGGATTAAATCTGTGTTTGGTGGTCCACTACATGAGTGAGGAGAGAAGATACAAGCTCAGTTTGGGAAAGTGTTGTATGTTGAACTGTGCCTCCAGTAGCTGTGAATAGGACTTGATTTGGTTGAGGCTGTATTGGAGTGTGTGGGCCTCATCTCATACCTGGATCGCTCTTTCCACTTCCCTTAGCTTCTCGTGCTCCTGCCATGGCAGCCATTCTTCTGACAGCCAGACCCAAGGTGAGTAGGGTTCCCCAACTGTTGCAGTCCCTTACCTCAGCATGTCCCCTTGACAGTCTTTATCTGCCACCTCCTCATGTCCCAGCCTCACAACTCTTAAAATTCTGAGCCTACCCCCAGCTGCTAAGTTCTTCGGTAGCCCCCTTGCCCCATCTTCAGTTGCTGCCACCTCATTCCGGGACCCATGAGGGTGAATTTCCCTGTAGCCTCAGGAATGGTTCATTTTAGGTGCCAGTGTCTTTTGAGGATGTGTCCGTCTACTTCACCAAGACAGAATGGAAGCTTCTGGATATCAAACAAAGGATCCTCTACAAGCGAGTAATGCTGGAGAACTACCGCCATTTGGTGTCACTGGGTAAGGACCCCACATACACCCAGTGTCCCCTACTCTGAACTCAGTTTATTTCTGTTTCTTTGCTTGTTGTTACTGTGAGGCCAAGAATAAGTGTATTTCCCCACTGGATCTATAATCTTTTGCAGCTCAGCCTTTGTCTCAACAGGGCAGTTTTTATTCAGTAGTTTGGACCTGTAAATGTTTTACATAAATATGTACCCCCCCATCAAACTTATTTTGCATATAAATTCATAGGTTAACTAAAGCTCTTCTACCCAAAAGATGGGTGCAAACCACCCTATGCACTATTTGAGACTTATTCAATTTTACCAAGTTGCATTCCACATTTGTTTCATGTTAGAGAGTTTAGCAGCTTTGAGCCACAGAGGGCCTAGGACAAGGCATGCACAAGCTGGGGTAGGAGCCAAGGGAGGCTCCCCTGCTGTACCCCACTGCCTTTGGGGTTAAAGTGTATCCTCTTGCTCCAGTTTTTTTTTTTTTAGACTCAACAGATTTCACCTCTGTGATTTACCCCCACAGAGAGAGACTATCTTCTTCAATGGGTTCTTTCTGACCCTCACCAATGAGATCTGGGGTTTCCAGGAAAGTTCAAGAATCCTCACCTGAGTTTGGCATAAGGAACTGAGACATCCGCTCTGTCTGGTGGTGACCCAAGGGGCTTTAGCTTTTGGGGTGCAGGCAGCCCCTCTACTCATTTGCTTCCTGATACATCCTGGGGCCTGTAAATCCCTGCTCTAGCCCTTCATCTGTGCCTCAGGGTGTCCACACACACAGAGCCCGATACAATCCTGCTACCCTTCCTGCAGGCCAAATAATACAATAACATCTTTATCCTCTTAGCCCAAATCACCAATTAGTTAAGATCCCCTTTGCCTGCCTGGCTTCTATATACTTTAGAGCCCTTTGCTTCCTTAGAGGGACCCTGCCCTTTCTCTGGACCCACCCAGTGGCACTTTTGGGAGAGTCCTTTGTTCCCTGTTCCTGAAGATACTGAGGCTGGGCTGAGTTCAGGAGTGACTGATCTACTTCGTTTCCATGAACAGGACTTTCATCCTCCAAGCCTCACCTGGTCTCCCTGTTAGAACGAGGGGAAGGGCCCTGGGCAGCTGACATCAACAGGAAAAGGGCTGCCACAGGGATACAGGCAGGTGAGTATAAGATGCTTAGTATTTGCAAAAGCAGCAGCCAATAGAGGGAGGTACAGCCACTTTGGGTGGAAAATTCTCTTCTGTGGTTGGTTTAAATGACCCAATGAGTTCTCCCCATGGAGGCACCAGATGAAGGGAGCACCTACTGCTGTCTCAGATCACTTCTTCCCTTCTTGCTCTCCTGTCTGCCTGCCCGCAATCATCTCATGGTTCATCTGTTCTCAGCCTTGGCATTAGGGTGAGGGTGGAGAACAAACCCTAAATAGAGGTCCAAGGAGGGAGCAACACTGGTTGGTGTTCTCTGTTTTTACAGGTGAAAGGATCAAGAGCCAAACATTACATTCCAAGGAGAAATGTTGTCCAAAAGAATTTGCAGGAGCCACTCTTCAGGGTAGCAGCAAGGGCCAGGTATCCAGGCTGCCAGAGGAAACACTTGAGCGGAGACAAAAACATGCTCATTCTCCAGAGACAGGTTCCAGCAGGGGTGAGGAAAGAGAAAGGGTGCAAAGAAGTAACCACAACATTAGGCAGAATTTGGTCTCAAGGCAACAATGTTCCAAAGGTGCAGAGAAGCGGTACCTGTGTCAGCAGTGTGGGAAATCTTTCAGCCGGAGCTCCAACCTCATCAAGCACCGTATAATCCACAGTGCTGAGAAGCCGTATGAGTGCTCTGAGTGTGGGAAACTCTTCCGGCGCAGCTTCGCCCTCCTGGAGCACCAGCGTATCCACAGCGGTGAGAAGCCCTACGTGTGCGATGAGTGCGGGAAGACCTTCACACGCAGCTCCAACCTCATCAAGCACCAAATTATCCACAGTGGTGAGAAGCCCTACAAGTGCCCAGAGTGTGGGAAACTCTTCCGGCGCAGCTTTGCTCTGCTGGAACACCAGCGCATCCACAGTGGTGAACGGCCCTATGAGTGCAATGAGTGCGGGAAGGCCTTCAGCAGGAGTTCCAACCTCATTGAGCACCAGCGTACCCACAGTGGCGAGAAACCCTACACATGCAGCCAGTGTCCAAAAGCCTTCAAGGGTGTCTCTCAACTCATTCACCACCAGCGCATCCACAGCAGGGAGAAGCCATTTGAGTGCAAGGAGTGCGGGAAGACCTTCCGGGGGCGCTCAGGCCTCAGTCAGCACCGCCGGGTACACAGTGGTGAGAAGCCCTATGAGTGCAGTGAGTGTGGGAAGACATTCAGCAGAAGATCCAACCTCTTCAAGCACCAGGCAGTTCACAGTGATGAGAGGCCCTACGAGTGCCAAGACTGTGGGAAGGTATTCCGGAGCAGCTCACTTCTTCTGGAGCACCGGCGGGTGCATGAGTGTGGGAAGGCCTGTAGCAAGAGTGACGAGAGGCCCTGCACATGTGGCAAATGTGGCAAGTGTGGCAAGGCTCTTAAGACAAAATTGCAGCTCCGTCAGTATCAGAAAATTCGCCATGGAAGGAAGGGTTCGGAGGAGAGTGACTGTGAAAAAGTACCAGCATCTTTGGCCCTCAAAAGTCCCATTGAAGAGCCCCACCCTGCAGATGAGAAGCAGAGAATAGATTCTGAATGCACGGCTGCCCACAGTGCCATCTGATAAGGTTGTCCATGGGAGGTTTGGGTGCCCTGCTCCCCTCCATTCTGTCATTGATGATGCAGTTGAGGCAGGGACTTCACTGTAGCCTCTGCCTTGAGCTAATTACAGGCTGCCATGTATGTGCACAGGTATGCATACATGTGGAGCCAATGTGTGAGCTGCTGCAAGAGCTCTTGAAAACCCATCAGGACTTTGTGCTGTGAGTAGGAGGAAACCTGTGGCTAGGGCTACCCCAAGGGCATAAGTACCTTGCGTTATGGAGAAATGGTTTATTTTCTCTCATGGGGGGTCATTTGCTTCACCCCAAAACTCATCAGCATTTCCAGGTTGAAGATACTAAAAGCACTTTAATCCTTTAAAAGCTTATAAGTGGAAGGGACTTGAAGAAATTCAAAATTGTGAGCTCTACAAGTAGGCTGTGGCTTGACTGTGACATCCCCAAATTCATCAAGAAATGGTCTGAAAATGGACTTGGGCAAATGTTCTTGTGGACTGCTCATGCCTGCATTGTCAACCTCTGCTCTGTGAGAAGGCACAGGACACCCTGCTGTCATGTTGAGCAGTGACCCGTTCTTTTTCCTGGCCATTTGTCTTTGTGCCTGAAAACTACAGCCTTCTAATATGTGTCCCCAGTTGCTGCTTCTCAGAGGAGCAGCACCCAAGACCCCATCTTCTCAGAGCTCAGAGCTTGGGAGGGGGTGTCTTGGGGATTGTTGGCCAGGGGCCTGCATAGAGGATGAGGCCCAGGGCCTCGGCATCTCCTCCCCCGAAAAAAGCCCTTTTGCTCCGGTCCCTTGAAGCAGCAGGCTCCAGGCAAGACATTGCAGCATGGCAACATTTTCCACCAGCTGCCCTGCTGCCTTTAGTCTCCTCCCTGCCCACCAGACCCTCAGGCTTGCCTACTGTCCTGCTACCTTCTGTACCTCCCACCCCACCATCAAAGGCCACCCTGGCTTCTCTGTCCTTCCTCCCCACCCTCAGTGCCTAAAGCTTGAAACATAGCTGCTCCCCGTCCCAACCCAAATAGCCACCCTTTATGGCTTGTGCCCATCAGGAAGAAAGCAAGATGTGTTAGGAATTTGCACAGAGAGTGCCCAATTGTGGCTCTCTCATTGGATCTGTCTTCACATGACATTTCTTAAAATATTGGAGGTTCAGTTGCTTTGAATGTTACTGCGTTTGGGATAATGTAAGTTGAAGATTGAGATTTTTGCCATATGAGAGTGTCAGGGAATTGCTCTTGAAATAAGATCCCACCCCCAACCCCCGCCAACCCTTTGAGAAGTACTCAGAGAGCAGAAAAGGACCTCACCTCCTGAGGCTTAACACGATTGGTGTGGTGGCAAGCCTAGTTACTGTTCTCACTCCTCCCCCTTAGCCCTGTGGAAACAGAACAGACTCTTCAAATGGCACTTTACTGCAGGCTAAGGGAGGTTCTCAAGGAGAAAGCTCACACTGGCCAAGAGGCAGCTGCTGGCAAGCTCTGTCCTGTTCCACCTGTGCTGTCTCCAGAGCTGGGCTCAGGAGTTATGCCTCTTGGTACTCTCAATCTAGCATCCTGGTTGGCTTGCCACCTCCTTCCAGCCCTCTTCACTCCCAGGGGCTCTGGTCTGTTATACAGAGCACCTGAGGACAGAAAGATAGTAGATGTTCTGCAGGCCACCCATCGGGCCTGCAAGGAGCAAGCTTACCTTCTCTGCAAGAGGGGGGAAGGTCAAAGACCCATCAGAAGAAGGTGGGAAGACCTGAAAGTACAGGATTCCTTCTGGACATGCTTCTTGGAGCTCCAGTTGCTAGGACAACTCCAGAAGTGAGAAATATAAGTGTAAGTGTAAATATAGGTGTTTTATATAGATATATTGAAAGGATTTTCCATACCTCTGACTTATGAGAAGTTCTTGTAATTTGCTATCGCACAGCCTACTTCACTGGGCCCATACCACCTCATTCTTTGATTGCCTTCTGCTCTGTGTGTCACATTCATCTTTGTGCCCTAGTTGCCAAGCCCAGTGCTTGGTAATTAAGTAAATGCTTGTGAAATAAATATTGCCCCCTTAGCACATTGAACTCAGGTTTTAGACTGTAGTCAGCTTTAGCCTTACCTTGAGGCAGTTGAAAGTCTCTGCAACTTTGGGTTTTCTAGTAGAAAAAGAAGTATTGGGAACAGTGTCTGAGGTCCATGGAGAGGTCATTGGGAAATGTATGTTTCCCAAAGCGCAGACAATCTTTGCTGCATGTGGCATGAATTCAGGAAACCAGTCCCCATGCAGGGCAGGGCACAGTGGCAGGAGGCCCTGTGCTTAGACTCCAGTCTTGTTCAACCATTGCCCTGACCAGGATTGGGGCAGCAGCTGCCACATGATGGGAATTGGTAAGAGTGAACAATTTTGCTCTTACAGGCCAGTCATTTACCAGCTTTAATAAAGAAGGCTTGGATCTCCCCATTGGTTTTACTGGGTGAGCTAACCTGATGTGTTTTTAGATTTTAGAAACTTCTATTTATTTTAAGATGACTTAATTATTAGTGTGAACTCCTTTTTTCATGTTGGAACCCACAGGCAAAGATGACTAGGTCGGGGGAGTGGGTAATGTATGGGTGTTTTAAGCAAAAAGTGGATTTTTTTGGAGAGATGCTACGCACTTTCATTCTGGTTTTAGAGTGCCCTGATGCTTACCCAGATAAGTGACATTTACAACAACAAGACATCAGGTTAACTTATGACGCATGACACATCTGAGTCTGTGGGCCATTTGACCTTTGAAACTGTAGGCACTTTCCAAGAGCTATTTAAATGCTATGGCAATATCTCCATGTACCGGTAGCCATCAGATGGTCTAAAGTAACCAAATACCAGCTGGGTTAAAGGTGTCAGGAAAGACAATAAGCATGGAATTATGGGGGAAAGCTAAAGCTGCTGTGTTTGGACATCTCTCAGCCCCCTGCATAAATAAAGCAGAAACCCTTGAGAGCCAGCTGTGTAGGGATCAGGAACAGCCACCTGAAGCTGGTCAGACACCGTGACTCAGACTGGGAAAGGTCAAGCACCACATCAGTCCCCTGAGAAACACAATTCTGTTGCCATTCTTCAGGCAACATGGCAGCATCCACACTCATCACTGTGGGTACGCCGTCTGGCCTCATGTGGCCCTGTAGAGAGGGCAGCTTCGTCTTCAACTTCCCATTGTTTGCTTCTTGATGTCTGTCTGTAGAGGGACTCCAGCATGGACACTCTTCTGTCCTGCAGGCCCAGAAGCCCCTTCCCCTGGCCTTGCCTACTGGTGGTGCCTCAATCTCTTTCTACCTTCTGGTTCCCCCAGAAATTATTGGGGTCCTTGGCCCTTCCCTCTGCCCTTTGTGTCCAATGGTCATTGAGCTACCAGATACTGTCCAATGGCAATTTTGGTTGGCCCAGCCCCATCTGCCCTTATGGGCCCCACCCACGCGTGGCCTCGTGCTAGGCTAATGGCAACAACCACGTCTGGGGCTCTAAGTAGGCCTGGGCGCTTAGCTCTTTCCAATCATGGCTGGTATACTAGGACCTTAGAGTGCCTGTAAGAGTTTCTCTGCTTGGCAAAGCTACCGGTGCCTTCAACAAAGAAATAAGGAAAGGCTGTGCTCCCTGAGAGCAAGTGGCTGGAATCCCAGATTTGTTTCCAAGGGAGGAGAAACCAGGCCTGAGAAAGGGGCCCTTGAAGGTTTCATTGCCATTGCCACTCAGCATCTTTAGGTCCCAAATGTTTACTGAATGGTTTACTCTCACTCCTGAATGTGTTCTCTCTGGCATTATGGCAGCATGGGTACAGCAGGATGCTGGTTTCAGAGCCGACTCCCATGAAGCATCTAGGACAAGCCAGGACCCCAAACGGTCACTCCTTTACTCAGCCAAGGAGACACAGCAGACTTTCAGCTGGGGGTGCTAAGTGTACACCTTGTTAGGTATTAAAGCATGACAAGTTGTGTCTCGAGGCTAGAGTAGGAAGTACCAGGTGAGCTCTCAAGACAGGAAGTAGAGATCCAGGAACTTCCAGAAGTGGGGTAGAGGGAAGAAGGGAGGGCATATGGTGTGTTAGGGAACCTTACAAAGGCAGAGGACCTGCTGTAGGACAATTGGAGGTTAAAGGTCATTAGAACCAGAGTGCAGAGAGCCTGGGATGCCAGAGGAAGAATTTTGGACTCTAGCTAGTTCCTGATGAGATGCAATTTTTACTTTTTATTGTTTTCATTTTTTCCCAAGATTTTATTTATTTTTAGATGGAGGGGAAGGGTGGGAGAAAAAGAGGGAGAGAAACATCAATGTGTGGTTGCCTCTCGTGTGCCCCCCACTGGGGAGATTGCTGATTCTTAATTTTTTCTTTTCTTTTCCCTGACTGGGAATTGAACCAGTGACCCTTTGGTTTGCAGGCTGGCACTCAATCCACTGAGCCACACCAGCCAGGACGGGAGACAATTTTTAAAAACATCACAGAAGTATTCTAAGATTGAGGCAGGGAAGTTAATATAAAAAACATAATTGCTAGAGTGTGTGAATTGACACATTGACAACCACCTAGTATACACACTGTATATGTAGATGGTTTGGATGCCAATTTGGTGTCAACACATGCATGTAGATGGCAGCGGTCTACTACCAGTGAGGCTTTGACACAAGCAGCCTCAATTAACATTCTTGGGAATCCCCACTTGCCATAGTATTTGTAACTGGTTTCCTGTTATGCTAACACCAATGTGTTTCAAACATAGCAGCCCTCCAGGGTTTGGAGATTGCTGATTAATTTTTCTTTGTAAGCTTTATAGAGGTATAATTGGCATGCAAGGAACTGCACATCTTCAAAACATACACTTGGAGGAGTTTTGATGTGGACACTCATGAAAACATCACCACAGTGAAAACAGTGAACGTATACATCCGTCACCCCCAAAAGTTACTTGGTCTCCTCAGTGCTCCCTCCATTTTGTTCCTCCCTGCCTTCCACCCTGCTGCTCTGCTTTCTGTCACTGGTCATTAGTTTGCATTTTCTACAATTCTATGTAAATGGAATCCTGCTGTATGCACTCTTTCTTGTCCGGCCTCTTTCCCTCAGTGTACTGGTTTTGAAGTTCATCCAGGTTGTTGTATGTGTATCAATATTAAAATTTTACTGCTGACTATTAGTCCATTGTATGCATGGACCACAGTGTTTGGGTTTTTTCTGGGTTTGGACCATGGCTAATAAAGTTGCTATAAACAATTGTATACCAGTGTCTGTGTGGACATGTTTTCCATTCTCTTGGGTATACATATGCCTGGGAGTGGAATTGTTGACTCATATGGTAATCCTGTTTAACTTTTTGAGGAACTGCAAAGCTGTATTCCAAAGCACTTGCACCATTTTACATTCCCACCAGCAGTGTATGAGGAGTGGGACTTCACATCCTCCCCAACACTTGTTATTGTCCATCTGTTTGATTCTAGCCATCCTAGTGAGTGTGAAGTGTGATCTCATTATGGTTTTAGTTTGCATTTCCCTAATGATGAGTGACGTTGAGTACCTTTTTATGTCCTTGTTGCCATTCATATATTTTCTTTGGTGAAGTGTATGGTCAAACCTTTTGCCCATTTTTCATTTGGGTTGTTTGTCTTATTGTTAACTTGCAAGAGTTCTAGATACAAGACTGTCAAATATGTGTTCTGCAAAGATCTTTTTTCAGACTATGGCTTGCCTTTCTACTTTCACGACAATGGTTTTTTGAAGATAAGTTGTTTTACCTTGATGAAGTCCAATTTATGAGTTTTAGATTTTATAGTTTATGTTTCTTGCAGCATAGTTAAGAAATATTTGCAAAACTCAAATCATTAAGATTTGATCCTCTGTTTATAGAAGTTGTATAGTTTTAGCTCTTACATTTAAGTTAATTCTTAACTTTAAGTTAATTCTTGTATATGGTGTGAGGTGAATTCCCAGTTCATTTCTTTCTATATGAATATCTAGTTCTTCCAGCCCTGTCTGTTGAAAAGGTGATCTTTTCCCCCACTTGAACTGCTTTGGCACCTTTGTTGAAAATCAGTTGGCTGTGTGTGAGTCCACTTCTGAACTCTTCAGAGGTGCTCTATCAATTTGTTTGTCTATCTTCTTGCCAGTGTTACACTCCCTTATTTCATTTGGCTTGTAATAAGTCTTGAAATCAGGTAATTTGGGTGTCCTGACGTGGTTCTTTTTCAAAATTGCTTTGTCTATACAAAGTTTGTCATATTTCCACATGAGTTTTAGAATACCTTGTCATTTCTATGGAGGAAAAAAGCCTGCTGGGATTTTGGCTGGGGTGGCAGTGAACCTATACATTATTTTGTGGAGGACCAAGATCTGAATGGTACTGAGCCTTTCAATTTGTGAACATAGCATATGTCTTCATTCAGGGGCCTTTTCTAGTTCATCTTTGTAATGGCTTGTGGTTTCAGAGTCCAGGTCTTATACTTGTGTTATCAGATTTATCCCTTTATGCAGTTACTGATTTTGATGCTATTGCTTCAGTCCTCCTTAATTTCCCTGTAGTCCTGTTCCCCAGAGACACAATGCACATTTAACTGTGTGCTGGGATGTGAGGGTAAGTAAGGCATATGTCTTGCATACATTCACAATCAGGAGCACGTATTTGTTGCTATGATGCCTTCGTTTAGCTTTGATTATGGCATTGACCCTGATATAAAACAGAGCTGTGTATCCCATGTTTATTGGTCTGAAAACTTATCATTGTTCCAAGATTTTTTAAACTTTTTTTAGCAAAGATTTCTAACAGAAAAACAAAATCAAATTGAAATAAGGAAATAGAAATCAAATTACATTTTTGTGTTTTTTCCAGAATATTCTTCACATAAAATGTAATATAGTTTCCTTCTATATTTTGGCTAGTTAAGTGGGAAAAGAGTGAAAAGAGGTAGAGGGAGAATGAGCCAGGTAGGCAGAGAAAGGATGGGGAGAGAAGGACAAAGGAGGAAAGAGGAAAGCAAGGTTGAGAAGGAGAGTAGTTTTGCAATGCTTGTGCACTTGGGTAGAAGATACCTCAGTTATCTCCTTAGATTATGGGAGTAGGATGGAGGAACCAACAAACATAGAGTATTAGTTAGGAAAGCGGCCACAAGTAGTAAGAAATCTGACTATGGTGGATTAAATAATTAGATATTTAATTTTTTTCACGTAGAGAATCTGAAGGTAGCTTGCTGGCACTGGTTCAGCAGCAAAGCACTGGCTTCTCTCTAATTAGCTTAGCTTTGCCTCTTGATCACAAAATGGCTGCCAAAGCTCCAGCCATCACATATACATCCAAGGACAAAAGAAGCAAAGGGCAAGGCCAACTGCATCTGTGCCCTTTTATCAAGAAAGCAACAAAGTCCCAGAAGCTTGCCAAGCAGGCTATCACTTAGGTCTCAGCCAGAACTGTATAACATGGTACCCTGACTTGGAAGAAAGGCTGGGAAAGCAGGGGACAGGATTGTCATGACCTGTCATCTGAGGCCAAGAACACTGATGAACTGAACAAAATTGGAGTCTTATCCCAAAAGATGGTTGGAATGGGTATTGGGTGGTGTTATGAGTTGAATTTTGGACCTCCCCCCCAAAAGATATGTTGAAGGTCTAACCCCCAATACTTTGCAACTTTATCTCAAGATCTTGGAAATAGGATCTTTGCAGATATAAATAGTTAAGATGAGGTCATTCTGGAGTAGGTCAGTCCTTTCATACAATATGACTGGTGTTTTTCTAAGAGAGGACAGGGAGAAAAGGCCATGTGAAGATGGAGGCAGAGAGTTAAGGGGTGGGGTCATAAGCCCAGGAATGTCTGGGGCCACTAGAAGCTAGAAGACATGAGGAAGGATCCTCCCCTAGAGTTTCTGGAAGGAGCCTAGCCATGCTGACACCTTGCTGTCTACCTGTGGACCTCAGCTCTTTATGCCTAAAACCTCAGAGGCTGGGAAGCAGTGTGCCAGCAAGAGAGGAGGTCAACCTTGCTTGAGCTCCCTCCCCACATGTCAGCACTCTGCATATACTCACTTGCATGTTCTCACGGCTGAAGTGAGTACTATCCTGACCCCTGTTTATAAGTGAGGAAACTGAGGCTCAGAGATGGAGAGGAGCTGTTGTAGGCCTCCCCACTAGTAAGCAACAGATTCTTGCCCAGATTCACAGAACCTCGGCACCGCAGCTCTTTTCACTCCAGCCACCTGGATTTCCCCCAAACTAGAGGGAATCCAGCTGGCCCTCCCATTTTCCCAACTTGGCCCATTTGGGGATGATTCCTTACACTTAGCATATCCAAAGATAAAATCACATCAAAGTCATTTAATTTTATGAAAAGGATTTTACAAAAGAAAAATGCTGTGAAATCCTGCTTTGGGAACTTCAAAAGCCTTGACCCCCCCCATCTTGGTTCTCAGCTATTTGCTCTCCAGAGAGCTGAGGGTTGGGACCTGGGAGCAGTGCCAATAGTGCTTTCTTTGGTCAGATGCCATGTGCCTCAGTTTTCTTCCTTGTGATAAAGATGAAAAGACTCTTCATCCTTTCATCCCTGCTCTGTGCTGGCCCTGGGCTAGATGCAGAGGCCCAGTGGTGAGCAAGACAACATGCCTGCTGTCTCAGAGAAGGCTGTCTTTCTAGTGACAGGCATGCTACAGGCAGGGAGGAAAAATATAGCAGGGGAGCAGTGGATAGGGTGAAAGGGTGGTCAGAGAGGGTCTTTCTCAGAGGAGAGACACTTGGGCAGAGACTTGATTGAGGTGGACATCTGGGAAAGGGCAGTCTAGGAAGAGGACACAGCCAATGCAAAGGTCCCAGGCAGTGTGTTGGTTTCCTGGGGCTGCCATAACAAGTACCACAAACTGGGTGCCTTAAAACAACAGATACTTTGTTGTTCACTGTTCTACAGGCTGGAAGTCCAAAATCAAGGTGTCAGCAGGGCCACACTCCCTTCAGAGGCTCTAGGGAAGGGTCCTTCCTTAGTTTTATCAGCTTCTGATAGTTCCAGGCACCCTATGACTGGTGGCCACATTGCTCCAGTCTCTGCCTATGTCTTCATGTGGTCTGCTTTGTCTCTGTGTCTTCTCCTTATGTGTCTCTTATAAGGGCACTTGTCATTGGATTTAGAACCCATCTCAAGATTGTTAATGTAATTATACCTGCAGGGACCCTTTTTCTAAATAAGGTCACATTCATAGGTCCAGGGATTAAGACATAGATGGATCTTTTCAGAGGCCCCCATTCAGCCCAGTAGAGACAGGAAAATACTTGTTGTGTTGGATGTCGTGTGGCTGGACCCCAGGGAGCTGAGAGGAGGGATCCCGGTAGTAGGGCAGAGGCAGCCACTGCCTCAGTCAAGTGTATGGAAACCAACACGCTGCCTGGGACCTTTGCATTGGCTGTGTCCTCTTCCTAGACTGCCCTTTTCCAGATGTCCACCTCAATCAAGTCTCTGTCCAAGTGTCTCTCCTCCGAGAAGGCTTGGAAGCCATGACAAGGAGAGTACAAGCCAAGCGTCAAGTTAGTACAGGGCTCAAAATAACTGCAGCTATAATCATAGCTGACATTCTCTGTCCATCTGCTATGTGCTGGGCCCTGGGTACAATCCATCCTTCTGGCAATACTGTCTTATCTTACTGTCTTATCTCCCTTATCTCAGATGAGGAAACTCAGGCCTGTTGGGTAACTTCTGCTCATCACAGAGTTGGCAAACAAAGAAGGGTGGAGAGGTAGAACCCAGGACCCCAGCTCTCCCACAGCAAAGTATGAGCATACCACTAAGAGTAGAGGCTCCCTCCCGGTTGATGAATATTCCTTGCCACCCCTGTGGGGCCTGGGCCAGAGTAGAAACATGAGGGAAAGGTCAGTGCTTCCTTGCTCTTCCTCCTCTTTCTCCAGGAGCATGATTTTCAGGTTCTCAACCTGACACACCTGGTGGTTGGGCAAAATGCTCCATACACCCAGGTTGCCTGGGTTGAAGTCAGAAAGCAAAGAGGTTTCTAGCTGTCAGCAGGAGAACCTGCTGAAAAGTCCAGCTTTCCTGCCTCCTTGCACTCCTGTTCTTCCTGGCCCATTGGCTGGTCCTTGCTAGCCATCATCATCCACCATCATTCTCCAAGGCTGGTCCTCTGGCTGCTCACACCTTATCTCTGAACTCCCCAAATTCCCTTTCTTGCCTGGTCCCCGTCCTCTAGGCCTCCGCCCCTCCAGT